GAACCCAAATTCAGAGCTTTAGATGAGGGTAAATGCTAATCTCTGCAGCACTTTGGCCTAGAAGGGTCCCAGTTCGACATGCCTGATTTAAATACTGCCATCAGAAGTCCCTGAATAGCTGAAACAGTTGTGTTAGATTATGACTGGATCTCTAAGAAGAGGGTTGGTGACCACTTGTCTATGCATTCTTTCAACCGTTGCTTGGTTGGACCGGTTTTACAGAAAGTTCCTATTCGCTAATGGGAGTTATGAAGTTTTTGTCAGAATACCTAAATTATTCACATCAGATCATTAAAATGTTTGTTTAGAGTTGCTACATAATGTGCAGTTTTCAGCTTGAAAGGCTGCGCTAACAATCAGGACTACATTGTTGTAGCTGTAGAAACCAGGCAAACTGGCAAAACAGTCTGAATTTGTCACAATGCTAATGCTAGCTCTAATGCTAGCTCTATTACAGGACAAAAAATGACTACAACTATCTTGATGTACCTTAATAATGTGGCTTTTCTCATGCATACGTAATATATTTAATTAATAACGAAAAAAAAAACAGAAGTAGAATGGAATGTTCTGTAAAATTTATCCAACCAAACAGTTGCCACAAAACAATGCACTTGTGGAGCAGAGTTTACAAGATGATTTCCTTCTTGTGAAGACTGGAATTGGTCTATAAACCTATGAGGAGGAGATAATATACATCTTTAAAGCTCTTTATCAGTGTCAGTGTTTTCACATTTTCCATTTCCAAGAATGAGGCCTAGTCGGCATGAAAAACACATTTAGCATTATACATTTGGAAGGCGTTTCTGAGGAGAGTACAGTATGACATCTAAGGCTGCATGAAAGGGAAATTCCACCTATTTTACAACGTTTCTGCATATTAAATGGTTAAGATGTAAACAGAGTCATTCAGAGTGGTTTGGTATGAAATGCTCTGTTCTAGAAAAAAATGTACAGAGCCAGAATTGTTGACAGTGGTGGTGATGGGAACGAGACGAGTTTAATGGCTCCAAAAGCTCCCTCACAGAAAGTTATTACATGAAATGGTTGTGAATACGCTGCGTGATGTCGCACCCGCTGGTTCCTATGACCACCACTGTAAAAAATCTGAATCTGTGAGTTTCTCTAGAATGGAGCATTTTCTGTCAAACTACTCTGAATGACTTTGTTTACATCTCAACCACTAAATATTGCAGATATTCTTATGAATTGAGATTCCCTTTTAATCCAATCGACTTTAGGGCCATCAGCCCAGGGCCTGACCAATGGGGCCTCTTGAGCAGGTTTGCTAATGGAAAAGCAACTAAAAAATATGCTTTTGTTGATAGAGATTTTTGTTTAGTTTTACAGGGAGATCTTTTATCTGACTTGCATACAATCATATACAATATCTAGTTATTGTTATTCAAGGCTAACTGTAACTCTGGACGATGTTAAACAAAATGCATTAATATAGAGAACTAATGTGGGTAATATACAGTTCTGTGTTGAACATGGTGATTATTGTGGTAATGGTCCATAATAATGACCTTAATTTAAGGAGAATTCCACTGATTTTTCAAATATTCTGCAAAATGTAAACAATGTGATGTGAAATATTTCACTGTAAAGAGATTTCTTTACAGAGGTGGTGACGAGAACCAGGGGTCACAATGGTTACAAATGTAGCCATTTTATTTACGACCAAAAATGACCAGGGAATCTACACGTGTTTTTCAGTTTTTATATGGAGTGATGATGGTAAAATAGTGGTAAATCTGAAAAAGTTACTTTTCTTTGGGGACTATTTTGCATTACAACACCCTGCATGTACCCCTCCACCATGAATGTATTTTAAAAAATCTATAGTTTAGGCTAAAATAGTACCTATAAACTATCATGCATGTATCTAAAAACTATCATACATGTCTCAGGCTTTGGGCAGCATATTGATATTTCATGTAATAACTTTCTGTGAAGGAGCTTTTAAAGGTGGACGCCTGGTTCCTATCACCACCACTGTGAACAATTCTAACTCAGTAAGTTTCTCAAGAATGGTGCATTTCATATCTCACCACTCTGGATGGCTTCTTAATGATCTTAATGATTTAACTATGGAGACTTTTTTGAAAACTCTTGGTTCTGGAAGCAGAAGAAGTGCATTCATTATCTCACACAGTGTGTGAGCAGTGCTGAATTTACAGTGCATAATGGGTTCTGCTGGAGAATGTTTGTTTATAAGGCTAAAGAGAACTGTCGAGTCCATTATGTCTCAGGTAACAAGACTGAAAGCCTGATTAAGTGTCTATTTCATGAGGTTAAAACCAACACAGATTCCAGAATATATTAGTCAGAAGTGCTACTAAAACTAAAACATCTTCAGTCTGGAATCATCAAAAAACTGGTATAGTATGAAAAACATCTTGTATATTGGATAACCACCACGTTGGGAATTTCAGACATTGCAATATTGATCATTTACATAAAACCGAACATCCCATTTCAAGGTGGTTTGAAAGCTAATGCCTCTTATAAATACCTTGTGGCCTAAAGTAATGTAAAGTCCACACCAAGTGACCAAATGAAGATACAAATGTGCCAGTGATGCAAATAGGGGTCATTTTAATATGGAGAGTGAAGGACAAGGTACCTTTTTAGGAAACCACCTGATCAACAAGGGCCAACAAATGCATCCCATGAGCGTGACTGTTCAAATGAGTTGCTATCAGTTTTCTGCGGTGTGAATTTATGTCATTTCTATTAGATATCTAACAAATTGCATATGCAGAAACAAAACTGTCTCAAATTACTTCAGAATTGTGATTGCTGAATTACTTCTACACTGACTTAACTCCAGCAGCAGTGTCTCTGTGGCTTTATATCAGTTAGTGTGATAGTACTGTGTAAAATTAAAAGACCACCCTTTATTGAATTAATTTTCAGTCAAAACTGGCATATATTTAACAGAAGATTACACAAAGCCTCAACAACTAAATATATCATCAAAATTTCAGTTTTCTTTCAGTTTTGCAAAGAAATCTGCAGAGATATATCTTAAAAGTCTTAGAAGTTGATGGATCATTTTCTGAAGTTATCCAAATACATTCAGTGGTGTTGAGGTCTGGACTCTGGGGTGGTCAGTCCATTGTTCAGCTTCTTTGTTTGATGTGTTTGTCTCCTTTTCTCAGTGAGGTTCTTCTTGAACAGCTACACATCCTTTCAGACCCATAGCGCTGAGTTGTCTTCTCACAGTGGAAGGATGGACAGAAACACCTGTGGATGTTTTCAGATCTGAAGCAGCTTGATTTTCTTTAAGTGCTGTTTGTCTGATGGGGGGCCATTTTGGTGTCTACTAGGTCTTCCAGGTGGTTGTTAGGAGCCCAAATTTCTCTGTAGCTTTTAATCATTTTTTTTAACTCCAGTTTTAGAAACTCCTGTTATTTCACTTATTTTCCTTTGACTTTTTGCCGCGATATGCAAATGTATACTAAATCTCCTCAGAAATATTTCCTGAAAAATGAATAACTTGTACTCTTGCACTTAAAGGCCATTTTTTAACTGGAAATAAGTGAAACATGGTCACAGTACTGTACTGTATGTTCAGGATAGGTGTTAAGTTTTATTATATGTTTTGCACTGGAGCAACAAGGCTAAAGTAGCTACCATGTAATGGAAGCTTATAGCAACCAGTATGTCTTACAGTGTCAGAAAGAACATGAGCAAATCTATTTGAGATTACTTAACAGCTCAACAGCATTTAAGATAAGTGTGTGATGATTTAGGTATGCAGTGTGCACGATGCTAAACTGGCAACTGTTAGAGATTTAATTAGGCCTAAAAATTTGAAACGAATGCAAATACAGCCTGAAAACATGTCCAAACTTGAATAAGCCTGACCAGCAGCACCAAGGTTTGAGTCTGAATCTGACCCAAGCCTGACCCAAACTACATCATCAAGTTTTCAGTCTGAAACTGACCCAAGTCCAACTGTCCGAAATTGACCTGAATCAGCCCATCAACACCCAAAGTGCAGAATAATCCCTTTAATCCCTTAAAATCCCAGGATTCTTACATACTAAGGCTTATTATTCAGTAACTACAGGGACTTCAATGCAAGCTGGTTGAGCTATTCTTAGGTTACAGAAGGGTGTAATAAAACTTTGGGCCTGCTGGCCATGTAAATGGTTCAATTAAAGTATGGCAACAATAACAGCGATCATTAGATCATGGATAAATAAAATTATAATAATAATAAAAAAAATCTGTCCACAAATAAGTAATAACAAATGTAGGTCACACTTTATCTGGATGGTCCACTATAGATGCTCTGCAGATACTTAAATCATTAACTAACCTTCTGGTGATGTTCAGTTGATTATCAACACCATTATGGTTAGGATTAGGATTAGGGGTAGGTCTAGGCTTTGTCTTGAGGTTAGGGTTAGCTTTAGTTTTAGTGTTAGGGCTAGATTTAATAAAATCGTTCACACTGAACTTGTTTTTAGTTGAATATTACTTAAATACAGACTGAGCATTTAGAAAGCATCTGCAGTGGACCATCCAAATAACACTCAACTTCAGGTTCAGTTGCATTTGAATGTTACTTAAAGATATATTGAGCATTTACAAAGCATCTACAGTGGACCCTCCAAATAAAGTGTTACCAAGTAAGCAGGAAATGCAATGTCATGTTTAAGTTGTCAGAAGCTGAACATGACATTTGAACCTGAGAAGAACCTGACCTATATTTTGGGAAATGGCGTGAGCAGACAGGTCCCATCAGGTTCAGACAAATAATTCAAGCTCTGGCAGTTATAAGCTTCCAATTCCAGTTAGCATTACATCAGCCTTGTGGCTCGAGTGCAAAACTAAAGAAGCAAACTTTGGACACCAGTAATGTCTTAGCCCATCAGCTAGATTTGGAGTATTTGGGGAAACTGTGCAGATTTTTGCTCAGATCTTTCTTTTTGTTCTTATATATTTTCAATGTCAAGGTTTCTTGCTTTTCCTCCATTCTGCAGGACGTAGCCATGCCTCTCCACTCTGCCCATTGCTTTGCCTTCATGGTGCAGCTTTACCTGCTGCATCACGCCCAAGCAGGGGCATACTACGGGCACAAACAAGGGCCCCAACAACTGCCCCAGCAACACCAACCACTGCCGCAGTTACCTCACATGCCCCTAGGCAAGGAAGGAGTACCCCAGCCGCAGTACCTGGGGAAGAAGCCTCATTTGCCATATGGAAACGAGATGCCTGTGCTACCACACTACGGAAAGGAACAGCAACAGATCCCTCTACAAAATTTGGGCAAAGGTAAGAATATGGTCAAAAATGTCAATGAATTTCACGAATATAGTGCCTCAATGTGTTGATGATATTCATGTAATGTTAATTAGCCTTGTCTACTACCAGTAAGTCAAGGCAACTGAAACTGAAATATAATCTGAAAGACTTCATCAGTTCAACAGTACGGTGGCCTCCTTCACACCTTTACCTGTTGTCCACACTGTTATCTTCAAAGAAGTGTTCCTTGTTGTATATGCAGGTAGACTTCTTAGGGCCATATACACCAATCAGGCATAACATTATGACCACCTCCTTGTTTCTACGCTCATTGTCCATTTTATCAGCTCCGCTTAATATATAGGAGCACTTTGTAGTTCTACAGTTACAGACTGTAGTCCATCTGTTTCTCTGTGTACTTTGTTAGCCCCCTTTTACCCTGTTCGTCAGTGGTCAGGACCTCCATGGACCCTCACAGAGCAGGTACTATTTGGGTGGTGGATCATTCTCAGCACTGCAGTAACACTGATGTGATGGTGGTGTGTTGGTGTGTGTTGTGCTGGTACGAGTGGATCAGACACAGCAGTGCTGCTGGAGTTTTTAAACACTGTGTCCACTCACTGTCCACTCTATTAGACACTCCAACCTTGTCAGTCCACCTTGTAGATGTAAAGTCAGAGACGATAGCTCATCTGCTGCTGCACAGTTTGTGTTGGTCATCCTCTAGTCCTTCATCAGTGGTCACAGGACGCTGCCCCCAGGACGCTGTTGGCTGGATATTTTTGGTTGGCGGACGATTCTCAGTCCAGCAGTGACACTGAGGTGTTTAAAAACTCCAGCAGCACTGCTGTGTCTGTTCCACTCAGACCAGCGCAACACACACTAACACACCACCACCACGTCAGTGTTACTGCAGTGCTGAGAATGATCCACCCCATATACTGATCAGTGTTTGAAAACCCCTGGTCAAACTACATGTTTGTTGATTTTCTTTTTTTGTGAACAACTTGTTTAATTTTAATAACAAACTGAAAACATGTACAATTATAACATAGATACAATTACAAATAAGTACCCCACCCCCCAAACTCCCTCTCTAGCATGCATTACAGTATGAATACTCTACATCCCTTGTTTACCATCTTCAAACACTTTACTCCAGCATTAAGCAGTTCACTAATGTTACCAGCTAAGGTGAAACATCCTCTACAGGGAACAACTTAAATACTGCATTTCTTGCAAATGATTAATGCACAATTTCTGTTTACTTGCTGAGTTTAACATAATAAACAATAACAAAACCATAAAATCTAAAATGTGCCATAACTTTTGCACAGACCCCATTTTATGTTTTAATAAATTCAGCAAATAAACTGTCATTGTGCGTTAAATGCACAGAAGTGTACCTTTTTTACATAGAAAATGTGCAAAACATGTCCAACTGTTTGCATACAACTGTATGTGTCACTTCACTCTATATTTGCATATGAACGGAATAAAGTTCTCCTTGAGTTTTGACTCTTTTGTTTTAGGACAGCACTCTTTAAAAAAGCAGCAAAAAATGCTTCTTTGCTCAGTGCCACAGAAGAGACACTTCTGGTTCCCTTAAGAACCTTTCATTTTTGTAAATAAGATATGTGGGATTGATGAACACAATGCAAACAGTCTAGGACGATCCCTTGAATTGATATAGAACCTTTATATGTGTGAAGGTTCTTTAAACCTTTAAAACCCAAAGTGGTTCCTCTACGGCATCTCCTTAAGAACTTTTTCTTGCATATTTTTTAAAAGTGGAGAACAAAAGTTGTTTTATTGGCATTACTTTATTAACACAGTTAATACATTTACATCACTAACTAGATCACTTAAAATTGACCAGACTCTTTGCCATGAACTGCATAGATGGCATGATTGCAGATATGCAACTGGAGTGCAGTACAAGGTTGGGAGTACAAGGCTGAGTCTGCTCATATTCCTAGATTTCATTCTTGGCCAGCATTTTCCAACATTTAACAGACTGTATTAGGGAGAGCTGCCAAAGCTAACACTCTATCTGAAGAAATATCAGAGTTGGCCAGATCTCCATCAGTGTGAATGACAAGAGCCAATTACCTCTCATCTCCCTGACAAGCTAATGCCATTTAAAACACTTCATAACTACCACTCACATTTCAAAGGCAGCTGCTATACACACTTGCATGCTTTTGCCAAAACAAATGTTATCTAGGAATCATTGAGTAGTGTGAGCTGTACATGGATATCCACACAACAATTTACATTCCTGACAAATCACACAATTATGCAAAATGTAGAGGTAAAATGTTTCACGCAACGATTAAATAAAACTTTGTGCTTTAAACCTGGGCAGCAGGTTATCGATTAATCTGAACCAGGGGCCACGGAAAAATGAAATATATGCATGCTAAGACCATTGCATATTACATGTCTATTAACAAAGATATGCTGAGAACGCTCAGTTGTTATTTTATAGCCATTGGTTTTAGTCTTTTTCAATGACCAAATAAGCATTTTTAAGATTTTTTGATGGTAGAATTAAAGAATTTCTACAGATTTGGGCCATCCACAGAATATATCCCCCCATTCATTTATCTTTTTTTACATTCTTATGCATAGCACTTGTTTTTAAGATGCTGCCTTTGTCTGTCCAGGTGAAACTATTCCCAGAGGTGAGAAAGGACCCCCAGGAGAGGTAGGCCCTATGGGACCTCCAGGGCCTCAAGGCCCTCCTGGTCTACCAGGCCAGGGCATTCCAGGACAGCCTGGGAAACCTGGCCCACCCGGCCCTCAAGGGTATCCTGGGATTGGAAAACCTGGCATGCCAGGACAGCCAGGAAAACCTGGAGCAATTGGATTGCCAGGGCCGAAAGGAGAGCTGGGACCAAGTGGTGGTGCAGGACCAGTAGGACTGCCAGGACCTCCAGGCCTTCCAGGACCACATGGACTACCAGGTCTGGTAAAACCAGGCAGACCAGGGCTACCTGGACAGCCTGGGATTCGTGGAGAGCCTGGACAAAAGGGGCCTCCAGGTTTTTCTGGGATTCCAGGACTTAAAGGTGATAAAGGCATTGGCCTTCCAGGATTACCAGGTGTAAAAGGACCACCTGGACCCCCTGGACCACCAGGTCCAGGAGGGTTACCAGGAGTGGGGAAGCCAGGACTAAATGGGCTTCCTGGGGTCCCTGGGGCCCCTGGTAAACAAGGCCCACCTGGAGAGCCAGGGTTGGGAGGACTTCCTGGTGACGAGGGACAACCTGGGCCACCAGGACTACCAGGTATTGGCAAACCTGGTTTAGATGGATTGCCAGGAAAACCTGGTCTTCCAGGTGGAAAAGGAGAACCAGGTCCACCTGGCTTTCCAGGGGGTCCAGGTTTACCTGGATTTGGGAAGCCTGGATATCCTGGACCGAAAGGTGACAAAGGACATGGTGGTTTACCTGGCCCTCCGGGTCCAAAGGGTGAGAAGGGTCATGGCGGACTTCCTGGAATTATTGGCCCACCTGGTCCTGGTGGTATCCCTGGTCCACCGGGTCTAATGGGACCCCCAGGAGGTATTGGCTTTCCTGGACCAAAAGGAGAAGGTGGTGCAGTTGGGCCACAAGGGCCTATAGGCAGAAAAGGTGAACCAGGACCTCCAGGACTTCCAGGAAAACCAGGACTCCTAGGAGAAAGTGGTCAACCAGGACCAAGAGGCTTTCCTGGGCCATTAGGGCCTCAGGGGGAGAATGGACATAAAGGTTTACCTGGACTCCCTGGGGCCCCAGGGAAGCCTGGACAAAAGGGTGAAATTGGTCTGCCAGGGGAAGGAGGTCATCAAGGGCCAATAGGAATTCCTGGACTAATGGGTCCCAGTGGGCCAATTGGGCCTCCTGGTCTTCCAGGACCAAAAGGGGAATATGGACCACCAGGGAAACCTGGACCACCTGGTGAAGGAAAACCAGGCCTCCCAGGCCCTATGGGCCCACCAGGGAAAGCAGGGCTTGGTGGACTCCCTGGTAAACCTGGAATGCCTGGCCAACCCGGCCCTCCTGGTCCACCTGGGCCACCTGGTCAGCCTCCTGGTGTTGGTCAAATTCTTCCTGAGGTGGGTCCAGGTCTGGATGGGGCAAAATCAGCCTACAAAAAAAGCAAGCCTGGAGGACACATCTTTGGCAGGAATGGTCTTGAGATGCCTGCATTTACTGCTCAGCTAACAACACCATTCCCTCCTGTTGGCAGTCCAGTAGTCTTCAACAAGGTCTTGTACAATGGCAACCAGAACTACAACCCTCAAACAGGCATTTTCACCTGCAGCATACCTGGAATTTATTATTTTGTATACCATGTCCACTGCAAAGGAGCCAACGTGTGGGTGGCTCTGCAGAAGAACAACGAGCCAGTAATGTACACATATGATGAGTACAAAAAAGGTTTCCTGGATCAAGCATCAGGGAGCGCAGTACTGCCCCTAAAGTCTGGAGACACTGTTCACATTCAGTTACCATCAGACCAAGCTGCAGGACTTTATGCTGGTCAATATGTCCACTCATCATTCTCTGGATATTTATTGTATCCGATGTAAACTGCCCATGAGTCACAAGTCATTGGTGGAAAGAACAGCAACTTTCATATATATATTTATATATAAACTGCATGTGCGTGCCATCAGTACTCAGAAATCGAAAGAAGTTTGATGATGTAGACTTCATTGCATAGTTCACTGGTATTTGTTGAAATGAGCTGGTCTATGTCTGATCAATGGTGGCATTTGAAAAATGTCATTGTTAGTGGTATTTAGGAAATACTAGAAAATACATAGTAGGGAGTGAAATGCACCTAATCAAGTGGTGGAAGTGGGTTTATGAAAGAGAGACAATGAAAAGCCATAAACTTTGAATATAGTTCATTCAAAGCTGTCTTTTAACATATGGGTTACATATAGGCTACATTTACAATTCATACTTTAAGCATTTGAATGGCAGACACACACTTATTTGCATATTTCCTCTATCTGCATATGTGTACATGACTGGGGTAATATTCACTAAATACATTAGACATATTAGACATTCATGTCCTCATAATAAAGGATGTTCAGTTTTTCTTCATGCACTATTTCTAGACTGTCATTACCATATACACCAAATAATCATACTGTCAGTCTTAAAAAAATATGGTACAGTTTATTTGTTTATGGTACATCTGCCTTTCCAGTTATTACACCTCCTTACCGTAACTGTAGATGCACTATCTTCAATATATCTGAAATTCCTTTTTTTAATGAAGCCAAAATGAGGAAATAAGGTTAGTGTTGTTTACTGATATAAACTGGGGTACATCTGAAATATGTATATGTGTATATAATATGTTGCTATGCTGTTAAATGTCCCTCAGATATTCAAAAACACATGTAAGCAAAGGATGTGAAACATGATAAAATACCAGCGTAGTATCGTTTTTGTTCCATCACCGTCAATCACAGTTCCACCGAAGCAGAGTTAGATGCCGAGAGGATTTCTGAGGGGTTCTTCTTCTCTGTAATTTATTTTGTTTTTTAGTTTTTACTACTGAGTGCCTGAATTTGTATATGTGCAGAAAAGATGATGGGGCATAAAAAGAATGAATTTATTCTGTTTTTTCCAATTTTCACAATGGTGCTAAACCTTCGATTGAACAATGAACAATTAAATTTCTGAATGTCAATTTTGTTTTGTAAATAAAATTCAATTGACTAAAGTTATGCATCTGTGTGATTTTTGCATTGTATGTATAAAATGAATAGTTTAATGTGTCGAGTATAAGTGTAAATGTAAGGATGACAATGCAAAAAAGACTTTATTGATTACTAAATATTTAGGCAGTGTATAGTACAGAAATGGGCAGCATGGTGGTGCAGTGGGTAGCGCTGTCGCCTCACAGCAAGAATGGCCTGGGTTCGATTCCCGGCCGGGTGACCAGGGTCATTTCTGTGTGGAGTTTGCCTGTTCTCCCCGTGTCTGCGTGGGTTTCCTCTGGGTTCTCTGGTTTCCTCCCACAGTCCAAAAACATGCAGTCAGGCCAATTGGACACGCTAAATTGCCCCTAGGTGTGAGTGTGTGTGTGACTGTGTATGTCTGTTTGTCTGCCCTGCGATGGACTGGCGACCTGTCCAGGGTGTATCCTGCCTTCCGCCCAATACCAGCTGGGATAGGCTCCAGCACCCCACCGCGACCCAGTAGGATAAGCGGTTTAGATGATGTATGTATGTATGATGTAGTACAGAAATGCTTTCAACAAGACTGAATGCACTATACACCACATTACATATTTTGGATATTTCATATCATGAAAAATTGCTTTTTCATTATAGAGACCCTTTCTCTCATCAAATGGAAAAAATAGCTTAATATAGTATGTAAGCACTGATAAACGTTTCCAACTGTACCGTCCACTCCCCAGTCCATACAGTCCATATATATGAAACCTAAGCTGCAAAAACAGCCCCTTTTTGAAATCACTGTTTGTTTTTTTGTTCATGATATCACAAAACCATTTAAATATATTCGATTATTCAGCCTACAGCAGTTTAGCTCCATCCATTCACAGTGGAGTGTTTCAGCCTGGACAGCTTTTTGAATGAGGCACAATACAGCGCAGCAAAAATATTAATCTACATATTGTTACTGTTGAAACAAAACCTTTTATGTCATCAGCAGATGTAGAGTATATCAAAATAATGACTTATCTTCTCAAAGTACTGAGCATTTTGAAATATTGACTAAATTTCTCTGAAATTGGACATAGTATCTCTAAATAATGAACCATTTTCATAAAATATTGACTTAGAATCTCAACTTTTCAAAATACCAAGTAAAAAATAATGTTATTAAATGTCAACAATAACATTATTTCAAAGTAATTATTACAAGACACAATCAATGTTTTGACACGTCAATATTTAGAAAAAATGTCAACAATTAAACATAGCAAGTCATTATGAGATACAAATCATTATAAAAGTCAATTTCAACATAGTAAGTCAATATTTTGAGAAAAGTCATTATTTCGACATAAGTCAATATTTTGAGAAAAGTCATTAATTAGGCATTATTTCAACATAGTCAATAATAAGTCAATTTTTTGAGAAAAGTCATTACTTCGACATAGTAAGTCAATATTTTGAGAAAAGTCCTTATTTAGACATAGTAAATCATTATTTTGAGAAATGTCACTAATTAGGCATTATTTCAACATAGTAAGTCAATATTTTGAGAAAAGTCATTGTTTTGACATTGTAAGTTAATATTTTCAGAAAATACATTGTTTTGACACAGTAAGTCAATATTTTGAGAAAAGTCATTATTTTGACATAGTAAGTCTAGATATTCTATCCAAATCGTAATCTTTGAGATAATAAGTCCTTATTTCAAGGTAATCAGATAATTTTTTGTTTTTTTTTGTTTGTTTTTTTTTTGGTCGTCATACTGCTGTCAGAAACAGGCGGCACGGTGGCGCAGTGGGTAGCGCTGTCGCCTCACAGCAAGAATGGCCTGGGTTCAATTCCCGGCCGGGTGACCAGGGTCATTTCTGTGTGGAGTTTGCCTGTTCTCCCCGTGTGTGTGTGAATGTGTATGTCTGTCTGTCTGCCCTGCGATGGACTGGTGACCTGTCCAGGGTGTATCCTGCCTTCCGCCCAATGACAGCTGGGATAGGCTCCAGCACCCCACTGCGACCCAGAAGGATAAGCGGTTTAGATGATGGATGCTGTCAGAAACAGCAGCTTTTTTTGGTTCCCCTGACAGAAACAGGCTTTCATTTTACACCAACGTTATAAGATGACCTCAGGGAAGAAATAAAGTACAATAAAACGTAGGGCCCTTTAATGATAGTCCGTGGATTAAGTCTGGGGGTGAAAACTGAGCCTGAGTCTGCTTGCCTAATTGCCTTATTCTTAGTTCAGTTCCACATTTGTGTCTACTTAGTCACTACTAACTTTAATAATCTGGGTTCAAGCAACCAGGCCACAGTCTCGGAGTCAGGGCACAGACTATTGATTTACATTCCACAAGTAAAGACTGACTGTATATGACTCTTTTGTATACCTTCTTCCTACACGGGCCCTCTTAGTGTAGTCCCTACTTAGTTTCTTTATCCAAATCCTAATCTCACTTAGGCGTCTAGTGGGCTAAATGTGCAACACTAATTCCAAAGCACTGCCTGAGCAGTGAAGCACTAGTAGGTGTTTCTGGAGCTTGAAATGTGTGTGGGATTGACCCACCTTCATCATCTACACATTTATCTTCTCTATAAAGAGCTGGGAAGAGGAAGAGGAGAATTAGTGTGCTTTCCAGGCCAAGGGTGGCGGTAATGAATTTAAACGGTGAAGAAGTGAACCCAAGACGAAGACTTGCTGTTTCACACCGCCGACCGTTTCACTCTGCTTCGTCCAAGTTTTAAGGTAATATTATCAACGTTAAATTCCTCAGTGAGGGCTAAAATCTCTCAGCTGCTGGATTTTATTGTCGCTTATCCTCCCTCATTGCATTTTACGCGGTTTGTTTTTAACGTGTGGTGGTGGCCAAAAAACTTCCGAGCGAGAAGTTCACTTTCGTCGCTGAAACGTCAGCATAACATCTTATAATAATAATTAAAAAATAATAATATAATGCAGTGTATTGGTACTGTTTAACTCACTCATCCACTTATTTACACACTTTTCTACTGTTTTCCGCTCAAAGCAGAAGTACCGAGGAGCTGCGACGGGTATCATATTCGAATTTTCCGTTCCACCTTAAATGCTTCAATGCTACGGCGCTTACATACTGGCGCCTCTATGCGCAGGATAGCGACTGTCGCGCTGTTTAAGGTGGAACTGAAAAATTCAAACAAGAAGTCCACTTTAGAGCGCCGTGGGGTTGATTCGTCATTGAAAACGTCAGCATAAACTTTTACTTCTTTAACTTTCTGAGTAAAATTTCAACAAAGACGCAACCAAATTATTTCTTTTCTCCAGTGTTTGTAGCGGAAAAGTCTGAGGTAAGACAAAGCTAACCTAGCTAGCTAACGTCAGTTAACGTTCCGTTAGCTCAAGTTAAACATTTGGAGTACTCGTCATTCAGGATGTTCTGTCTGTACGACTTTTTGAATACTTTATATCAGCTTATTGTAGTCTTTATACTCTTTATTTGACCGGTTAAGGTTTATTTATTCGTGGTACGTTTTGTTTTTCCAGTTATCTTTGCTTTTTCAACTAGTTTTCCAGTCAGAGTAACTGATTAGCTAGCCGGCTAGCTTAGTACAATGTACCATATTGTCCACCTACAGGTAACTAGACTAACCTAACATGTTATGCCACATTTGTGGTGTAATTGTGGTCAAAAGCTCAAAAGAAACACTGTCCATGCCAGCTTGATAGCTGCTGCATTACTTTTTGAAACTGGTCTATTATGCTAATTTGTAGTTGTAGTCCCTGATGGAAAATAAACACTTTAAGCTGGACTGGTGATGGTTTAGCTGGTGACCAACATACCAGCATCAAAAACACAACATATGTTGGTTTTTGTGGTGACCAGCATAACGGCTACCATTGCTGCTGACCAGCACACCAGCATCTAAAACATAACCCGTGCTGGTTTTGCTGGGGACCAGCTATGCTGGTCAGTACTGTTTTTTCGAGCAGGGACGTTCTACAGTTCTTAATAACTTTTTTG